GCGTGTGAACTCATCAGTCAGGTATGTGTGCACAGAAGTGGCTGGGATCGACAAGCCCTAACACAAATCTGCACTGCTTTAGGCTTAAATGAGATGCGAGACTAGGTTTATTTGCCATGGTTTGGGGTCAACTGTCAGTGTTTCACAGGGCCATGCAGCACATTCTCTGGACAGACACAAGAGCTGAAGTTCAGTCCACCCTATGCCCCCACCGTTCATTAACACCAAGCACGTGGTAGAACTCCATGTCACTCACTGCCAGTGACAGCTTCCTCCATTTCCCAGCTCTTCCCAAGCAGAACAGCTCTCCTTCATTTCAAGAGCTGCTCTGGTGGCCATGTTTTACCAAGCTGTGGAACAAGAGCCTGAACTACAGTGCTGAAGCCTCTTACTGAGGCTGTGCTTCTTACCTTGGCGTGCTGGGCACCAGAGCCTGGCTGCAGCAGAAGATGGAGGTGCAGGAGGAATACAAGATCAAAATAACACTGGGAGCAACAGGCCTCTACTTCTAGCATGAGCCTAGCTGTGACAACTTATGGAGATCAAAGGTATAATTTACTTAGAAGAAGAATTATTTATGCATAAACAGCCATTAACTAATAATAGAGAGAAGATGCTTTTAAATTCAAATGGGTGGCACAGCAGCCACCACTAGACAAGTGACCCAAGCATCTCATTCCTTACATAAACTGAAGCAGGAGGGAGTCTGATGTCTGAATGCTGATGACAAAACTTCTTTGTGAGTAACACTGGCAAAATCTTCTAGTAAGCAATTCAGGACTAAGTTAAAAGAAAATGGGGCACTTCTCTCCTAGTAGAAACTAACTTTAAGAATTGCATTTCTTTCCCTGTTTGTGTACAATAGGGAATGGAAATTACTGCTGCCATTTTGTTTTAAAAACTGATTATGTTGAGGAGGGAAAGGGGAAGCACTTGCCTGCTCCTGTGAAAAACCTGTAGCAGTGTAAGGTGTTGGGGAAAGAACATCCTTCTTCCAAGGAGAAGGAAAAGACTCTTCTGAATGGGGAAGGCTGGTTACAGCACTCATTGACCACCCTGGCTGCACCTACTGCACTTCTTATGAACCTTACCTTCAGCCCCATCTCTAGGCTTCAGTCCTTCCAGCTTCATTTGTGTGCATCTCATCTTGTGCTATAAGGTCTGAAACTACAGCACTAAGTGATGTCTCACTCAGCTTCTGCCTGCAGCTTTGGGAGTGACCATACTGCACCCCCAGACTGGAATTCAGCTTCACCAAACAGAATAAACACTTATTTAAACAGCAGTCTTCCTCCACCACTCCCTCAAAAGCCTACGAGCAGGGGATCAAAGATTTCTCAAGCTCAGCTGGCCCATCCACACAGCAGAGTTAAGGTTTACTGACCTCCATAGCCAATAACACACATGGATTAATATGATTAGGGTAACAACTAGACTTTGAATACTGGGCCCAAATAATCTGGCATTTACAGTCTGGTCAGCGGGGACTTCTCTTTCATTCAAGATGAAAGCACAGTTTGGAGTCACTCATCTGGACTGTTAGCACCGTGCACTACCCCTAAGAAAACAAGAGGTGAAAGCAGCAGTTACTCTAGAAACATCTCAGCGACTTAAAATACAAGCCAAAACTATCTAAGAGCAAAAGTTGGGGAGATAGTAAATGCAGCACTAGCAGACTAACATTGAAATACTCCCACAGAATCATAAAAGTTGGAAAAGACCTCTAAGATCATCAAGTCCAATGTCAACTCAACACTACCATGACCACTAAACCAAAACAGGAGGTGCTTTGCAAGAGCAAGGGGATGAGACAGACCCACCTCACAAAATCCTAGTTGTTTGCTGACGTTGAAGAACTGCAGCTCTATGGAGGGAGGGGTATAAGAATGCTCAAGGAGTAGGTTTTGAAATAGTGCTGGTTCAGAAGAGGGAGTACAACTGCAGACACATGATCTCCTGTCTCTGCTGGTCCCTCTCAGACTCACTAGGCTCATAAGGGCTCCGTTAGCTAAAGTACAAGGGCTGTGGGAAGCAAAACAAGCAACAAGAACTGTCAGAAATAGGTTTCTATGCTTCTGCCTTGTCTTAGGGATGCCTCAGCTCCTTGCTGTCTGTCAGTTGTTGGTGGGTGTCCCAGGTGTGATTTCTTCTGGCCCTCCACTTAACCACAGCCTTACGCCCATGCCTTTTCCCTGGGACTGCCTGAACCTTTCACTCTCCAAGATGAGAACCAGGGCCCTGGCCAGTGTGGGCAGATTCACGTGGCACGGTCAAGGTTTACAGTACTGGGATGCCACACTGATGAGATGCTGGGTTCAGGAGCAGACAGCTGAAAATAGTCAGGCGTTGGCTACAGATTAACTTTTAAGCAGGGAGTGTGGTCAATGGTAACAGAGGATGCAGAGGTAAGGAGGTCACAGCAGGATGCAAAGTAGTCTCTGAACTCAGCTTGCCAGCCACGTCCAGAGCAGAGACACACACGTACCAGCAGCAGTCTGTGATGTTACACAGCTCTGAACTCACTGTGTGACACGAGTGCTGGGTGTACATTACCCAGCCAGTTATCTCAAGCCTGGACAGAAGCAGCACAGGTCACTTCAGTATCAAACACATCATGAACAGACAAGCCCTCAGCTCTTACCAGATGAAGTGGCTCATTCAGCTAGCAGGTATTTCTTTAATGAAAGCAGCAGGAGTGCAGCCAGAACGAGTTTCTAAAGGCCAAGAAGAGGAATGTATTTGGAAGCTGCTACCCTAAAGTAACAAGCTGGATTTGCCCCAGGACTAAATAACGTGTTGCTGCCGCAGTCTTGGGTGCTGGAGCAGCTCAGGCAAGCAGCTCCCTGGTGCTGGGTTTGTTCCCTTACATTTGCAAAGACACAACATTCACTTCAGCACTGCCCTGGTCCTCGTCCAGATAATAAAACTAGCTACTGCATTTGTGGATTAATCCCTGAGCAAGGGATTCTGTAAGTATTGGGCAGCTCTATAAAAACAGAAAGAAGGTCAGAAGAAGAAAGGAGGGGAGGTGTTTGGCAGAAAAAAAATAAATTAAGGATTAAAAATATATCATATGAGTTGGCAATGGCACCGGAGACAGACTGTAGATAGTGATCACTGCTACTACTAGTCAGCACTTGCTTGAGCTGCTGAGGTCCTTTCTACAGTGCAGTTAATGGGCAGCCCACTGACAGCACCACAGCTACAGCCGACCTAGTTACTTCAGGGTTTCCGTTCCCAGCACTCGCAGCCAACACAAACCTGCTGCAGCTTTCACAACTCTTAATGCTTTGTTTAAAACTGGAATCAAGTCATCACTGCTGAGCAT